TGAACACCTAAATAAAGATTTTTACGGCTTAAATAACACGTCACGCGGGCGAAAACAATCGGAGATTTAAACAAAATGCAATCGCAAACGTCATTAGGGACTTTATTTTTCAGCGCTCAAGGGCCGGGAAAAGTCCACATGCATAATTACTATTAACAATTGAACGGCTTTTTTATGCTACAAATCTACATAAATTCATTTGCACTTTTCTATTGTGTAAACTGTATTTTTGACCTTAATTTTACGTAAAACTTAAGTTGACTTCACCAGGTATTGCAAACTGAGCAGAAAAAAGAGAATGTATGATGAACAATATTTGTGTATGGCTTTATACATACAACAGTGAAAGACGAAATTGTATCCCGATGCGTTTTATGCCTAAGCAATCTGAGCAATGACGCTATGAGACCAACACTCTTACAGCGCCATCTTATTATAAAGCAACCTGCCCATTACAAAAGCATTTTTCCAAAGCAAAAAAGGAGGGGCGCGAAGTTCATAAAATTTTTCAAAGGGGGGCGCGGCTCAAAAAGTTTAAGAACCACTGGACTACAGGCTACAGGTTAATGCAAAAAACAAACAAAACCCTCACATCGAACTTTCACAATTATAAGAACAATAAAAAAACGAAGATACAGTAAAGTCAACATAGTTTTTTCTATACCCAGATATTTCAGTGTGAAGTTTGGCACTGCTTTCCGCTAACAAGTTTGTCAATATTCGCTGAGTTGGACGATGTGGCAATGCGAAGCCAATTTTCCATATGACTGTTAGAAATTAGTGATCTCACGGGGGATTTGACATGGTTCATCTGTGAAAAAAACTTGCGCACAAATGAGTGCTGCTAAATAATGAGGTCATGAAAACTGCCATTCTGTGAATCCTCCGAATTTTTTCTTTAGAGAAGTATTTTCTGTAAAATTCTAGTAATGGCAAGTCTTTAAACCTCTCCTTTAAACCAGATTGTTAACTGTACGTCCTTTAGGCGCCAAAGCAATCCAAAGTTGTCAATATTTTGCTTCATTGCCAAAACATCAAGAATTTTATGTACGTACGTACCCTGGGGCGGATTATCCCCCTTTTGGTGCCCTAAGCACTTAAGACTTTGTTGCCCCTATAACAATATATGATTGGTAAATGAATGGGGTACATTTGGGGGTTAGGTGCCATACCCCCTCATGTGTAATTTAAATTTAAAAAACAACAACAAAAAACACATAAGTGTATTATCCAATAAAAATAATCATAACCAACAGTAAATAAATTAACTTTTACGAACTTTTTTAGGTTTTTCAACTGTTATATATAACCGATATATATCGGTCGTTTAATGCCGATATGATATATCGGCAAATACGCAATTTCGAGCCGATATATCGGTTGAGCTTTAATCCTGAGTGACGATGAAGATTCATGCGTCTAGTCCGGTATGTTAGTCGTTGGTCTAGTCTCAACGTGAATCGAAATACCAAATTTCAAGTCACAACTGTAATTTAAATTTTTTACCGTTACACAGTAGTCTACCTCAGGGTGGTCCAAGGTTGCTAGGTTGAAGGACCGCAAAAAATTTCGAGGAGGTCTCGCGGGCCGCAGTCGAAGAAAACCCAAAAGTGATCGAAATATCGCAAGGTTACTCACTTTAAATTTATTAAAAAACGAGGGTTTCCCGTTCTAACCAGACTATTATTATGTTGCATGGATGGCGTTTTTGAAGAAGATAAATAAAGCCTTCAGTTATTTTAAAATTATTTCCCTGGAAATACCGTTGTATTCTCCGCATCTCTCGTTTGGGTTTGTAATGTCGCTTCAAATTATATTTTTTCGTGCCAAAAGTTACTTGAAAGCAAACCAGACACTGTGGTTCACCGTTGTGGTGGGCAAGGAATTACGTTTCCTCCTTGTCACCTTTCTTTTGACACACATTTTATTACGAATTGTTATATCTGAGTAATTTAAAACCTTTGAGCGTGAGCAGACTTAGTGCCATCGTCAAATAACAACCAAGTCCGTCTAAGTTGGTATTTCGGAACCTAGCTAAAAAAAACTGGATTGCGCGGCGTTAAGTCGCCCCTGCGTTTCGTCACTACTGTCACATGACCCACGCTTGAAAATAGAGGCGTGTTTTTAAATAAAATAAAAGCACAAAACGTCGAAAAAAGGGTTTGAATCTCGGAATACCAACCCCAGTTGCAATAGCTAAAAAAGGCAAAAAACTTTTTGCTATAAATATACGCTAAAATTTCCTGTGGGCCGCATGGAATGTATCCATTTTGCTTGGTGCCCCAAGCACGTGCTTATATTGTTAAATGGTTAATCCAGCGCTGCACGTACCACGCCTAAACACACAGCATTGACAATTATTACTTATGCCCCCGGCAGGTTTGATCAAGTAATACTGTATTTGGTTAGTGCTACATTTGAACGAGAGACCGTGTGATAGAATAGAAGAAGATTGTCTCACAGATCAGATAACGTTATAGAGTGTAGTAAGAGACCAAGTGCGTAAGCGACTATTACGGTATGTATCGATATCTCTCAGTTGGTTTCGATTCAAAATGGCACTCATGGCTCGTTTGTAAGGGCTGGCAGAGCGCATTTCATAAACAAATCGTTTGTATCACATCTTTGTATACTACCTCACTCGAAAAGTAGAAGGGTTACTCACATTTTTCAACATACAATTTCGAAAATACAGCGCGGGCCACGGGTTGGACAACCCTGCTCTAGGCAATTTTCCAGTTAAGCCATGGAACTCGGGGTGAAAAAATAAATCGTGGTAAAAAATAGGTTTCTAGAATCACCTGAACGGGGTGAAATATCCATCTAATACCGGAACAGATCTGTAGCTACATCGAAAAAGTTATTTTATACACTTTTATGCCTTTTCAGTAGAATCAACGAACGTGAGGGGGGAAAGCGGCCAAAATAACGGTGTGTTTGTCTCGCGTCACCTAGCGGATGTAATTGAACACCGAATGACTGAATTATCTATCTTCAGTATTTACTAAGAATGCTGGAATAGCCATGATTCTAGGTCTCTTTTATGTCAGTATGTTAGGTCAAGTCAAGTTTTTGTGTTTTGTCATTTTTGCGGCTTATTATCAGCTTATAATTTTCTTCGTAGATAAGATAAAGTAATCACAGGTCACAGGTTTTTGTGGCTTTTACAAGATTAAAAAATAGAAAAGTAGGTTACGATAAAAAATCGCTTGCTTAAAATAAATATTTTTCAGTACCTGTACCCGGTACCGTATTTGAGCTTGCAAAAATCGTACATAGGCTGCAGACATACCGGTACCGATCTGCAGATAAAATGACTGAACTGGGATGGTACTGTGGTCTAGTATAGTTTAGTAGACTACCACAAGTACTTCCAGTGGGCGTAGCATAACGATTTTTGCATATGTTATTCCTAACCCTCACCTGACTATGCCATCCAAAAATTACGTCACTACGACGTCACCATCACGTCATAGGGATTGCCAAAGTATAATTAATCAATTCCGTTCCGACCGTCGTCTTGTGCGGACGTGTCAGCTTTAAAAGACTAGTGAATGCTACACGTTGTATGTTTCGGTATCTGTAATCTGTATCGCGCAATATCAACATGAGCAAAGCCCATCCACTAAAATAAGAGAAGTTTATGGATAAAAGATTGGATTTAAAGTTAAATGGTGGACGATCCTTTTATGAATCTAGTCATGTATGATGGAACAGAGCATGGAAAAGATGGGATCACTGCACCTGTTGGAATGGCTGAATGGTGGTCGTACGTGGAAATTCGATATTAATGTTGGAAGCATTGGAACGGATACAATGATTTTAAAGTGAACTAACCGAAAACGACAAAAGAACCCAATACCCCAATTCATGATTTGTGCATAGACTGCTATGGAACATTCAATCCATTTACCAAGCTTGTTTTTTTTTAATAACAACTTTTTGTCACTGTGTTATTTTTGCAATATAATTGAAGTAGGCCCACAACATCATCATTTTTTGTCAGCGAGTGTTCTTTAATCCATATATCTGTATAGGAAAAGCACATACACGTCTCACGTTTGAATTTATAAGATATTGCCCGATGTCACATCGTGTTTTTGTTTTATTGTGTTTTGCCTGTTTTTGGGGGACGGGCACGTACTTGTACGTATTTAACTTTTTTATTAAGTTATGCCCGTCCTCCAGGTCCTCTGTATTTTGTTTGTCCCTTTGTTGTTGTTTGTATCAGAGTGACCGAATAAAATTGATTGATTGATTGATTGAATTACGAGCTCCCGAAATGGCATCTGCGCCGCCGATAAGAACTTGCTAAAGCCGGCGATCTCTCTCCTACTGTGATCGTTGCCACGAGAAAACGAGAGAAATAGCTTGCTTGATTTCGGGTTATCGTATGCGCGTTTTGTACGACCATCCGCATACTTCGGTGAGCCTTATTACGCCACTGTGACGTCGGAATGACGTAATTTTTCGGTGACGTAGTCAGGTGGGGGTTAGGATTGACATATGCAAAAATTGTTGAGCCAGGCCAACTAAAAGTGGATGTGGTACTAAACTATACCAGACCCTGGTACTGTATACAGGTATCAGGGTATAGTTGTAAACTTTATATATCCTGCTCACTGGCTTGTGTTATGTATGTTTATTTGCCTCAAAAATATAACAGTATCTGCATAGTAATTAAATAGTAAAACAGAGACGGGAATACCGGCACATGTTCAAGACCTTACTGGCCTAAGACACAGATGTGCGATACCTATGCAGCTATGCAACCCTACTAACAATTATAACAGCAGCTGCTGGGTTATAATAGGACAACAGTCATGAAATAGGCTATTCATACAGACATAGAAAACTCTACAGTACGAGTACAGTACAACTCCTCAACTCTACAGTAGTTCCATATTCAGATATTACCGTATTATGCGCGATCAGACGATCCAAATACAATATTTTTTTTTTAGAAACTAGTTATTGTGACCAATCACATGTGACCAATCACAGTCCAGTAGTCTGATAGTATCCACAGTTAGTCATTTTGCGATGTTGAAGGATTATTAGAAACAGACTGACAGAGTGGGCCAAATCCAAATGGTAGGCTACCAGTATTTCAGTATTGATATAAGACTATAACTAAGATACTGATAGTTTCTGAGTTTAGTTAGACTTTGATTATCCCTGTATCTGCTCATAAAAAGACATAAATTAATGTGTGGACTTTGGACTCTTTTTGATATTTGACTGATTGAAACGATTATTTTTACTGCGAGTTCTGATAATCAGATAATAGTCATAGTTCAGTAGTTACAAATACCTGACAATGTTCTCAGCATCAGTTGGACCGATGAATAAGGAACAACAAGAAAACTCTAAGATGGAGGAATCAGACATTCCAGACTACAATGGTAGCAGTAAGAGAGGTCCAGCATCACCCAGAGCACGTACTGTTAATTTAACAAAACTTGTTCAGGAAAAAATTCTTGAGCCTGGCCAGGGAGTGTTGACGATTGATTATCTTGGTCAAAAATATATGGCTGATCTTTTAGACAATGGAAAAATATTATACGCTGGGATGCAGTTTGCTTCTCCAAGCTCGTGGGCGATTTATGTGAAGAAACAAGTCAACCCCTCTAAAAAATCGGGATGTGGATGGAACTCTGTAAAGTACAGAGGTAAAAAATTGGATATTTTTAAATCTATATACAATAAGAAAAAATCGCCGCTGCAAAGTATTGTGCAAGGTCAATCACCTGGTCAATCTACTGAAGATGATAACAGCCAGGGTTCTAATATCTTCAATGTAGATATGTTAGGAAATCCACAGAGGTTGCCAATCAAGTATTCTAAATTGAAGGAGTTTATAGGTGAAATTGATCCCAACGTATTGGTAGAATGCGTTAATTTTGATGAATATCCTGGAAACATGCAGCCATTTGTTGTTACAATATCTACTAATTGCTTACTTTTAATTAACTTCCACTGTCACTTGACTACTGGGGAAGTAGTTGGATATATGGGAGGCAAATGGGATCCAGAAAAACAATGCTTGAGCATATTGCAAGCATTTCCTTGCAAATGTCGCTTAGGTGATCGAGAGAATGCTGCTGTTGCTGAAGAGCAAATTCGTTTGGGAATGCAAAGTAGAGGTCTTAGTAAGGTAGGATGGTACCACTCCCATCCATCATGTGCTGCTGAGCCTACATTGCGTGATATTGACTGCCAAATGCAATATCAAATGAAGTTTAGTGCCAACAATCCAGTTCTGGCCCTGATTTGTACCCCTTCCTCTGACCATTCTGATCATAATACAGATAGTGTACTCAATGCTTTTTGGGTAGCACCACCTATTGAGCAAACAATATCTCCTAATGCTTGTTATGGCATTCCAATGAGATTTTCATATTCATATATTAAAGATAATTCAATTACCCCAGATTTACACCAAGAATTGACTTGGTTGGTTGATTATTACAAGTTAGCTCCTGATCTGATTAGCATGTCTGCATTTTGGAAATCAAATATGACCTATTTGGACCGACTAAAATTTTCTACTTTACCTCTGCTTCCACAAGATAAAAATAAAGGGTATATTATTGAATTGATACAAAAACTGATTAAGACGCCTCAATAATTTTTGAATCAATGTTTTCATTCTTCCATTATTAAACCATATATCTTTCTACACCAGCAACCCAGCATCTGACTCTTTTATATCATCTCGTTTTATATGTCTGAAATATAATTTGTGCCACTGTAACAAGTTTGCGTTGACGTGGTCTAATGTATGTCATCTTCAACAAGACAAAATTATGGTAGACTTCATATTGCATTGCCATATTTTGCTTTGAATTTTTGGCCTCTAAAATAAATAAATTAAATGTATTTCCTATTGAAACAAATATCATCCATTTGGTACATGCATTTGAAAAATTGAATTAATTTTTTTTAATCTGAGATCCTTGAATTTGCTTGTGCCTTGAATTAAATTCCAGGAAATAATTTAATCTTTTACGTTATGAAGCAATTAAGGATTTGCACTATTACTTTTGTTTGAAGATTTGTTTATTTAAATATATGATGAAATAAAAATGCTGTAGTTGCCTTGACCCTTTTAACTGCTTTTTTCAATTTTGTTTGATCAATTACTTTTTAAAATAATTTGAAACTTGAGATTTTGTAAAATTCACCAGACATTATGTAATAATCGAGCTGTTTCATTTATCATTTCTAAATCAATCAATGTCACTAGTCTTGTGACTCCATATATTCATGTTATATGTATTATATTGTGCTAATTTCCTGATCAATTTTTTGACTTTTTATATAATTACCTGCCCACATATATTTAATCCAGATGAAGTTTTCTGTTTCATTTTGTGAGCTATATTGTAATTTGCTGCTATATTTCGAGAAGTTATTTTAAATGTATCACGATAAGTCGATAAAGCTGTTTTTATTTATTTCAAAGACACTATTTTGGGGGGTAAACAGAATGTATGTAACAAACAAAAAAACAGCCGGTGCTTTCTCAATGTTCTATCTGACACTGTTGCATTTATTAGGTATTTAATGAATATAGGCTAATCTGAACATTTAGAGTAAAATGGGCATAACATTTAAATCATGTTTGTAATATTCTAAGCCAGTGTTCTTCAACCTTTTTTACCGTGGTATACCTTTTACAGTTTTTCAAGAACTTTGTATACCTCACAAATACCAATGTTTATTTAGGCGCTAAATAAACATTAATTTTCAATCACATATTGTACTGCAATATCATCATGCAATCTAATAGGCTAGTATCCGCATGTTGTAAACGTTGTAAATTTGACTGGCGGCCCTAGAGTCGATGGGAATAATGTTCAACGTAAATCAAGCCACGTGCATGGCAGCTGAAATCACCAACCCAGACATGTGCTTGCATTATTTATATAATTTGTGATGTAACAATGTGCTCACGTCGGTTCTTTGCGAAAATGACATTTTATATTTCATGTGCGCCGCGTTTGCATTGTTGTCTACGCTTGAATATTTTGTAATTTATAAAATTAGAGTAAAGAATCCCTGACTTAGGCTGTACACCCTTTGTGTCCCCTTTATCAGTTGTGTAGGCCTACCCAACTTATGGTCCGGTATACACATGGGTATACTGTATACCCGGTTGAAGAGCACTGTTCTAAGCAAAATCAGCCTTTTATTTTTACTACAATCACACCTCAATTGAGCTTTTTTATTTTAGTGATGCAATTTATCGCTAGAGATATTAACATCTATATTCTGATTTTTGAATTAATTTTTCATGTGAAAAATTGTTACAAAATCAAATATTTTTGAAGAGATTTTTGTAGATTATTTTGCAAGTTTTGCAATGAGTTTTGATGATGTTTGGGTTCCTCTAGCTTAAATATGATTTCTTGAAAAAATATCAATACTATAAAAATAAGATTTGACAATATTTACTTGTATTGTAAACAGCATATTGATTTTTGTATCAGCAGTATTGTGGCTTAATGACTTAATGGTCCTTTATCTTCACATGTTTTTCATATTTTATTTTCAAGGTGCACTATCTCACATCATTTTCAATTTATTTTTCATTTGCACACTTTTTGTAACTTGTGATTTATTCGGTGCTTCAATTTTAAATTAAATCTCAATCAACTTCATTTTCTATATCCCAACTTGTTAACACAACCAAGCTTTTTATTTTATAAGTATAAGATGCTGATAAGTATCGCCACTTGCCAGTCTCACACAATTTCAGTTTGTAACTTTTGTTATCTGCTATTTCGATACTTTTTTTGCAGATTATGTCTTGTAATGCTATGTGTCTTTACAAATTAACTTATTAGACTCAAGTGATCATTGTATTGGGAACAGCTATGGATGTTGAAGGCGCATTTAGTGTTGTTGGAAGTTGTGGAAAGTTTCAAAAATTTCTTGTTGCAGTTTTTTTCCTAACTAATGTAAGTGGTTTACAATATTAGCTACTTCTTGTTATCATGAGGTCTCGCCTACTCTGAAGTAATAGTTTAGGTTGATAAGAACTGCTGAGAAGTAAAATAAACTTTCTTCAACAAAGCACTACATGAGGATAGCTTTGCTTAGTTGGATAGCTTTGCTTACTCTCTGGATTCATAAAGAAATAGGGAATTTTAATATTAGGTTGGGATGCTTTCATATACTATTACGATTTGGGACTATTTCGAAGGATATCTTTTAAAAAAATATAAATTTACATTCTAGATCTCAAGTGGGATGCAGATAGTGATGATGGTTATTGTTGGTGCCACACCTAACCTCGATGTAGATACTGAAAAAAATCTCACCACCATTGTAACAGAGGTAAACAGCATTAATTACGGTACTTTAATTTCTCTCTAAGTGGAGAGGTGATTTTAAAATACAAAACTGAACATTTAGAGCAGTGAAATTACTACCAGCTCTATTCCATTTTAGTGGAATCTTTACAATGAGCAATGGATCGTCGATCTTATGTCAAGTTTATTTATGGCCGGATATGCTGTCGGCGTGTTGTTGTTTGGACAGATTTCTGACTTGGTGGGAAGAAAGTGGACATTTACTATAAGTGAGTTTTTTGAATAATTCATCTAGAATATTGGAGTATTTAATTGTAATTTAAACAGGCTACTATTAAAAATATCTTGATATAAGGTACCTTTAGTTTATTTGATTGTATGATTTCTTTACAGTGGCATTATAGTCAGGTGATGGTGATTTTTTATAATAAATCTATGAATGGGAAGGTCATTTATATACCTTGTAATTTAGATTACATCTTGCTTCTTCTCACTGGTGTGTGGAGTTCATTTTGTACAAATTGGAAAATGTTTGCAGCTGCACGAACAATTGTAGGATTTTTTGTTGGTGCTAGCGGCCATATTATGTTTGCTCTTATGGTTGAAAATATTGGATCAGAATATTGGGCCATTACAGGTAAGAGGACGAAGTAAATACGTTTGGGTGGCTTACCTCTTGACAATAATGGATAATTCATTTTCTATACTTTTACTCCTTGAAATACACTGACAGGTCAGTAAGCTGTCATGTGTGGCATTGTGTTTATTGTGACTTGTGAGTATCAATAAATAATGATTTTTTCAAAATGTTATCAACTTTCAAAGCATTCAATAGATTATACATTCTCTATACTTTGTATTACTACTAGTTTGTAGTTTGATATAAACATGACCTGGAATTGCTGAAAATAAAAATTAGACTAGAAACTAGAACTATTGTGTATAGTTTTATATCATTTGATAAGGTATATATATATACTGGTATGTATCTTATCATGACTCATTTTGTGTGATCTATGTCAGAACTAATTAATACAAAAGATCATGAAAACTGCTCTAAAAACTTATACTCTGTATCAGTTGTCATTTGATTGACTCAGTATTAAGTACATTGAACTGGACAGTACTACATAGGTGGATGGCCTAGTGCAGTGATTCCCAAACTGTATGCACATTTTATCCATGACAGGTTTTATCTATGATTGGAGAATAAAGATTTTATGGTCAAAGGCAATGCCCACCAAAATGGCACAAAATCACTCTTCCAAACCCAGTAGTTTTTTGCATTTCTGTGGCTGCTTGTACAGTCTTGTTCAGTGAGAAAGCTGTGAAAAAACATTGTTGTAATTTTCTTTTTGATGTCATATCCTACGTATCACATAAATACACAACCTTGATATATTTTAAAACATTCTATGTTACCATGATTGGTCAAATTTGTACTCATGTAAGCGGTATCAAAACTTCATTGTATAATTACCGTGCTGCCAAATAAAATATGGATTATGTTTGTTTTTAGGAATGTCTATGCAAGGTTTTTTTTCAATCGGTGTTATGCTGCTAGCTTTATTTGGCAGATTCCTACAAAATTGGAGACATATCTGCTTGACATGCTCAACAATACCTATGATTTTAGTTCCAATCCTTATATTTATGTAAGTTCAAAACCAATTGCCAGTCCAGTTTTTCCTATGTTATGAAATGGCTTTTGCCAAAATTTACGTTTGCTACTAAGCCAAATATGGTAGTTTTCCACTCCACACCTCACAACAGCTCTGTTATCCTGGATATTTCCGAAAGTGAAATATTCAATAAATTCGAAAGGACTGCAGTAACTACATTATTCCTTTCACTATAATAAAGGTTTGTTTTACTGATTTCCTTCTGTTCATTTTTCTATCCAGAGTACCGGAGTCATCCAGATGGCTTTATCATGTTGGAAAAATCGAGAAAGCTGAAAAAGTTCTTCAATACATTGCCAACAAGAATGGAAAACATGTTGGTAGGTACACCATTTACTCTATTAAATTTTCTCTATTTCCGGTTTATAGGATTTTTGAAAAAATTCGCTTTGAAATTTCATAGTTAATTACGGTAAGTTTATCATCTTGCAATGATACCGAGAACAATCAGAAGATAGTACAAATAATCGAAGTGACTGTAGTTTGATCTGATGAATAAATTTAATATACTGAATTGAAGCATTGAATTATTTTTATATTTACTAATCATCTATGTTCTTTCACTATTTAAATCGACATTTTCAGTTGTCAGATTAAGTTGTGAAGATGAGAATAATTCATCTGTCAAAGCAGAAAATCTGAGGAAATATTCATTTATTGATTTGTTCAGAATATGCAAATTAGCTCTTTATGCACTGTGTAGTTTTTATATATGGTGAGTCTAATTGATTTATACATAGTCATATTTCTTATTTTGCTTATATGTATTTTAACTACTGGCTACCGTGCTCAACTTCTTTGTTTTGAAGACCTTTCAACATGAAATATTTGACGTCTCATACATGTCATACTTTTTAGGTTCTGTTACTTTGACCTTTGCTTTGTGGGGACAATATTCTTTGTCTTTAATTTATATGCTGCAACTAGGAATGTATTATTATCTGACAACATTCGGCTGAAATAAAGTAATGATGTGTTTATATTATCAACTCGTATATATTTCATTGTCACTGGGACATTTGGTTTTGAATAGGTACTCATGTAGTATGTGAACCAAGATGGCGGACACCGGAAGGTAGTATGTGTACCAGGTTAGGGTCAGGCCATAATTTCAGGTACAAATTCTATGAGAGTCACTTGTCTAGTCCCCAAACTCATAATAAGAGAACCAAAATAAGGAAAATTGGAATAAAATTATGGCCTAACCCTAACCTGGTACATATACTACGTTCCGGTGTCCGCCATCTTGGTTCACATACTACATCAGCGCCTTTGAATATAGTCAGTGGTTATTTGATTCCATAGGAAGAATCTGATTGAGAAACAAATATTTTATATTACGCTGTATGCATTGTTAAATTATGGTTTTATTAATTCAATCTCAGGTTTGCTTGTTCTTTTGTTTATTATGGTCTCACATTTGATGCTGCCACTCTTTCACCGAATATATACATTGCAACCCTGTTGTCTGGAGTGATCGAAATTCCATCCATTTTTATATCATTTATAATGATGAGACATCGATGGTGAGTATCTAATCCTAACCAGTCTTAGTTGCATCCCAGACAAATTTTTCAATATAGTTTACAGTCATACATACATACATACATTACATACATACATTGGTCTTTCCGTCACTTTATCACTACTTTTCTTTGGAGCTATGATCTACGGCAAAAAAACAAGAAAAAGCACCAAATCACTCGGCCCTGCTCAGGTGGTCGATCTTGGAATTGCCATTCGAGTATCGTAGAATTTTAAACTCGAATTTTTTGGCCAACTGCCGAATTGTTCAATTGCCGAGTCGTTCCACTTTCGAGGTATCACTTGCATTAATATGTTGTAATAAAGTACAGTTAATAGAGGGGCATTTCTGTAATCAAAATATAGCTGTTGCCCTATTGGGGGTGTTGATTTAACCCTCAATATGGTGTTAATATAAACAGCTCTTAACATACTTATTACTTATCGATCTTAAGATCAGTAAGTGTGTTGATAGGTATTTGTCTGTCTGTTTGTTTGTCTGTTAGATGGACGCGATATCTCAAGAAGGTGAGATTGAATCTGCTCCAAATTTTGCATGTGCATTCATCATATCTCGGACCAGAAGCCTATTGATTTTGGATGAATTATGTAGTGTAATCAGCGAGTAATTAATTAATTAGTGATGGGACACGCGGTGTCACTATAGAGTCATGATTTGAAACCGCAGTTTCGATCGATAAGTCTTCGGTCTCTGACCGATAATCTCGTTGTTGTATTAACTGAGTTTTTATTGTAGGTTTGGAAGGAAAGGCACGTTAATACTTTTATTTGTCCTATCTGGGAGTGCAAGCATGAGTCTAGTATTCGCAGATGGATTGCAGTCAGGTATTGCATAGTTTTTGGGAATTTTTTTAGTTCATCTTTCACAAGATTTAAATAGACATTCATGCATTAATAAAGAAAACTTTGATATAATATAATACACAAATATAACGATTGAATAGGAACATGCTTCTATTGTTCAGGTGCATACTGCTAGTAATGTGATACATGCGTGGATCATCTACATTAAAATGAAACAATTATTGTCCTATAAGGCAACAAACCAAAAGTGGTTATCAATTTTCATTGATTTTTTTGTGTCCTTAAAGTAACGATATTGGCACATAAGAATATTTAAGCAGTAAACTTGAGAGTGTCTCCTGATTGAATTTTATATATGGGGCTTCAAGAGGTGACTTCTGTATCTTAAATCTTTGAAAACCTGTAATTCATTTTTACCATCATTTTGTACTTCTACATATGTTTTACAGGAAACTTGCTCATCATACAAACTGCTTTAGGTCTGGTCAATAAACTGGCAGTTTCTGGAGTTTTTTCAGTTTTATATATTTATATGGCTGAAATTTTTCCAACTCAGCTACGACTGGTTGCAATTGGGGGATCAAGTATGTTTGCAAGAGTGGGAGCAATAATTTCACCATTTGTTCCATTGCTGGTAAGATTTTAGAGATGGCTAATAAAAAAATATTGATCTTAATTGGGCATCATCTTCAAAATTCATTGTGATACTTTACAGGCTCCTGTTGCTTCTTATCTACCATATGCTATATTTGGTCTGGTAGCTGTGCTCGGGGCTGTACTGAATTTACATCTGCCTGAAACTCTCCATAGGACTGTACCTAGCATGAGGGATTTTGAAAAAAAAGATGGCAAATGTGAAGATTCAGACTCGGCAAACAATGTTTTGGTTAATGCAAGTGAATCCTGTGTGTTTACAAGCCAAGAAGTAGTGAGTAATGCTATATTATAATTATGTCACCACATTGCTGGAAAAGTGTTTCAACTTGCATTTGAACAATGATCTGGATATAGTTTCCAAATAAACAAATATTGAGCGAATACTACAGATATGCAGTTATGTTACCATTACTATAAATTTCTTTTTATTTGATGCATATTAATTCTATGATTTTGTTTTAGGATAGCCTGCTGGTACGTTGAATGAATTTTTTGCAATAAATGGAAGATCTGCACTTATTTTTTTTAATATAATATAAGCCACTATCTTGCCTTCAAGTCTTGCAAATATATGCAAATGCATTTTCAGTACTTTATTTATGCGGTTGTATTGTTTTGTGGTTTTCACTTATATATTATTTTTAGTGATGGTTTGTTAATATCCAAAGAAGTATTTACTTGTTACCTATCATTTGATGAATCATATAATTCGATTCGGTAAATAAAATTTTCCTTCTGTGGACTATGGTACTGGCTTATACTTAATTTGGAGTCGAGAGGTACAGACTTACATTAGCCTGGCATGAAAACAGATAATCGAACCATGAACTGTGATAATCTTGGAAAAAAAAGTGAAGGGAATTGCAATTGTTTATCGTTATAGGATTCATTGACATTCTTTATACATGTTTGTTTGCTCAAAGAGAATTCCCTTGGCCCCATCTAAAGTGGAATGGGTTTTATTGGATTTGCCCAGTCTCAAAAAACCTTAACTGATGGAGAATTAATTAAAAATGCGAAGTCGATTTAAGAGGGTGACCAAAGTATTTGAACATCAACAACTTTAAATATTTTTTATACTTCTGGACCTGCGAGATAAAATTTTATTGCTGAAATCGAACTGGCCCCAAAGTAACAGTTTGGTTTGATAGTTTCAAAAACAAAAGTAGTATCTCTAAATACAAATCAAGTACGCCGAGGGTTGAAATTCATTGTACATTTATTTACCGTACTCTTCTGACAATAAGCAAATATTTCATATGATCAGAAATAAACGCACACTGTAAGTTTAGTTAGTAGGTTCACTTTATTTCCGGTCATGTTTGACAAAGGCATGTACGACAAAATTAACTTCAACTCGAGCTCAAAAACACTAATAATAACATTTGTACTGAATTGCTACGAATATTCTTGTAATTTTACACGGACATATTTCAGGTAATTTCTTCATATTTCCTTGCAGTTCTTCGGCTCTATCTTAGGACAGACAAAACTTTCTGTAAATGTCCGCGCCGTGTTGCAAATATATTACACCTCTACGAATTATGTGCGTTACGGTTGTTCTGATTTTTCCAGCTCATCACTGGATGTAACCAATATTAACAACGATAGGGGACTGTCCAAGAGGGAGAACCTTTCTACCAAATCTCTCCAAATGCGTAAGGTTATTGAAAAATGTTCTGAAACTGCATATAAGCAGATGCTTTGGGCCATTCTTTACCATGCATTGTCAAATATGAAAAGTCATTGAAATCTTGAGCTCTTTCGAGGATTACTCTTTTCAGGAATTTCGAAGCGCGGCGCATAAAAATGCGGATGGGAATTCAGTTCTCGCTCCATTGCATACCGCAACTAACGACAGCTTGGAATGTACATTGACAATTTGTGGATTTTAGCTCTTCAACATCGTGAACAAACAGGTTGTGAAGCTAACAAACCTGAAGCAGCTATCGGACTTTACGTGCGCAGAAACTCCATCTTTCATCTCTATGCCCAGCAATTTTTGGTTGAACTGCCCTCGAGGTATATAATCATATCCTTTCTCTCTACATATTGTAAGACGGACACTGTTTTTCAGCAACAAATAATCTTTTAACCTGTTCGTCTGAATATATATGAAATGGGGTTCCATCACATTTGAACCCGTGTACATTTGAACCACATACATCTGAACCCACGACAATTGCACCTGCATACTATTGCATTTATGGAATTTTTTTATTTTACGGATATTTGACTTAACTTTGACCAACTGAAATTTTTATTTAATGGAAAAAGGCTATTCATTATTTATTTCATCATAGTTCTGTTTTCATCCAAAATTCACAAGTTACATGATCTTACAAGTCCGAAAATTCTGGCCATTTTCATCTCAGTAACTGCACGCTCAACCCATCCCATGAAGTTTGCAGTAACAACTATCTCAATGTGCTCAAAATTGTAAATGTTACTTTTAATATAATATATCTCCAAAAGAAAAAATGTACTGTACGAAGGAGAGAACAAATATACAAAATAAAATACAAAAATTGCAATATAGAAGGTGCCGCCAAAACTTACAAGTCGAGAAAAATTAAGAAAGGCGTTAGTTTTTTCAATGATACATAATACAAACATTGACATTGACAGTGACTTTTACAACAACTTTTACGTAAAATGAATTTAAAATAAATGCATAATAAAACAGCTATGAACATTAAAACTCATCTCCACCAGCGTAATTTCTCCCATTACCCACAACCGACAAAGATACAGTTTTTTTAAATGCGGCATAGCAACATTCTGCAGTTCTAAAGATCCTGAGAGGATTTCAACTACCATAAGACTCGTTGCTCTCTCTGGCATCTAGAGAAAACAAAAAGCGCCCCATTGTATCTCCAAGTGGAACCAGTAGAGTTGAAGAATACCGAGCAACTTGAAAAAGTTTAAGGATGAGTAGAATTTACCGGATACGTGGAAGGGTGAGGTTGAATATCCAATGCTACAAATCTTGGAGAAGACACTGGTTCTCTTTAGAAGCACTTATCCTTGCGAAGTAGTTATTTCTAGAATGAAATATCTGAAGAAGTACCGGTTGTTAGACGGCAGAGTGGAGTCGGAAATAAGGAGTATGGTATCGAGCGAGATACCGGATTTTGCACAATTATCTGCCAATAAGCAAGACTAAAGAAGTCATTGATTGTTACCAACGACTAACATACCGATTGTTACAGAATAACTCAAATTTTTATTTATAAATTCTATTTTAACATTTCCTTGTGTTTTTAGGCGCGAGTAATCTAGATAACCAAGGAATGCCAATAATATAATTAAATGTAGGCTACCTCTCAAATACAACCTCTCTGACGGCCGTAAGCTGAGCAATACAATTTTTGTTTTAGTTTTATATCATTTGAATACAATTGAATACTATCTCTCTTTTAGGTGTCGTTTTTGTTGCTAGGCTGCAAGTAAATGGGCAGGGTTGTAATCTGTTGACTGACTTGTCCATTAAATTTTGCAAAAGGATTTGATATTTTTTTAGCCCGTAACGATTTGAGTGCAAATGAGATAAAGAAATAGCGATATATATCACAAGAATTTTACAGAGCTCGTTTTGAACTAAATCACAAAGACGTGGAAAATAGACCTAAAACAGGAAACAAGTAAAAGAGGGCGTAAAGAAACTCATAGTGGACAGAATAATTGATCCCAAAAAATGCATTAAATGCAGAACGGAAAAGTTTCCCAAAACATTTAAAACACATTTAAGGGGAAAATTGTGATGTTGCAAATATTCGTCCTATCGAATTTTTTTAATATTTCAGTATAGAAGAGGTGTTTTGCATGAAGTGATCATTTGAAAAAAAAAATTGTTTTGAACATGACTAGACAAGCTGTTAGGTAGCAACAATATATTCCCTGTGAGAATCAAAATAAAACAATAAGATTAGTGATGGATTACATCAGAGGATATTAACTCAGTTAGCCTATTTGGTGGAGATTGAAGTACGATACCACTAAGGTTGCTTTGAATTCCCGGGGTGGGGATTTTTACCATCTAATTTCTGGATTAATAGAGTTAAACACACACACACACAACATATTATAAGCAGTCATGTTTATTTTCTTATAAACCTGACGCAAAAACTTGGCAAAAATTCTAAGAGTTTGAGTAAGTTTAATTGTTTTTAGTACATACAATCTTCAGTACATAACAATCTTTGAAAGATGTTTGTCGCCAAGTCAGCAATTTTTTAACGACTCAATTTACGAAATGTACAGTAAAACCGTTTTAGAACAACACTCACGTTTCAAATCCTGGGATATATTCAAAATAACCCCGTGATCGAAATTGAAAAAAAAAGCCTGGATTCCAACACTATACCACTCGCCCTGCTACAAAGAATATACGAAAACAGGAAACATTATCAAAAAGTTTGCAAGTCTGCTGTCTACCCCATAATAATTGAAAAGTGGAATCCAATCAAATTTATTAAATTAACACATTTATTTGTAGAATTTATTGAAACAGATGGTATATAAATAGATAGTGCCCTGCAAACACATTTTCGGACCTCCAGAAGTATGTGCACCAAGATGGCGCACAACCTGAACATAGTATGTGTACCAGGTTAGGGTTCAGGGTGTGCGCCATCTTGGTTCACATACTTCGGGAGCGCCCATTTTTCAATATTCATTTTTCACGACCGCGATCGAAATATTTTCGAAATTCAAGATGACCGCCATATATATATATATATATATAAGCACCGATATTACGAGCATAAATATCCCTGGTTTTTGTAGAAACGCAAGACAAAATATTAACAGGTACAACACAAAGTATCAGAAACACGCATCATTATTTTGATAAGAACAATTGGCAAATTGAACTGCAGTTGGAAATATCAAGTCAAACAATCATCAATAAATTTCTGAGGTAACCTTCGTTCTCGACTTAGTCGGGCCATGTGAACTACACAAGAATATGTAGTATCATTACCAACGTTCATTTTCAAGTTTAGCATTGATATGAGACACTCATATTTTTAGCCAGTAAATATGAAATTTGGCTCTGGTTCTGCGAATTTAGCTTCCTGTTTCACACTTGTCCAAAAAATATGGAAACATCCGCCAGTTCGGTACTCTTTATTTACTCAATTTTTTAAGGAATGAGTTTCTAACTTTGATCAGTACGTTGCACAATTCCATTTGCCCGTGGTAACGCACAAGTTTTGTCTTTCATCAATGCAATACACGCTTTATAAATATGTTGCTGTCAAAGCTCTATCTTTTGTCAGAATGTATTTGTTTAAATAGCCGTAGGCCTAATACTACTCAATATATATATCTTTTAAATTGTTCGATGTTACATTTTTGTCGTTAAATGATACGTTGATAATTGATGGGCTTAAGAATTTACAAATTTTGTTCCAGAATGGGTCCATTTATAGTAACAACAGGTAATACTGCGAAACTGTTTTTATGTTTAGAGGAAAATCTACAATAAATTACTGAAAAAATGCACTCATCCGTTTTGACAACGCTTTTGTTTTCCAAAGAGAACAATAACTCCAATTTTTTTTTTATCCGTATGCAAAATGCTATTTGCAAACGACATTGAAGCAATTTGTCCAATCCCAAAACGCAATACCTATTTTTTACAATGTTTTGTGCCCTAATATGCGTTCACTTGCAAACTTATATATACTGTAGTATTGTTACAATTACTTATTGACCTACTTACCGATACAAAGGCGGAAAATGAAAGTAACTGATTATGGAATCGGGAGAGCGAACAAAAAAAAAACGCTTCACGATTGTGCGTGTCATCCTTGCGCAGGGGCCATGCTAATCTTCTCTGTATCGTTCCAATTTTTTCATATGTACACCCGAAGGCAGAGCGAACAAAACCTCGAGTAAGGTTTGAAACGTACAGATTTTAGATGGAAAGGTATTGATAAAAGAACTAGTACGTGTTCGCTCACCCAAAAGTAAAAAAAAAAACTAATTAAGGCACGCACGCACACACAATCATATACTGTGGATAGAAAAGTATTCCTCAAAAAGATATCGTCAAGCTGATTATAATTGGAGTCACCTAATGCCAAATCAGAATTGCCAAGTTGGATGTATGAAGAGGTGGGCTAGACCTGCTTCACTCATCAAATAGAAGCCACAACAAGCCAAATAACGTCCAAATTATTTTAAATACTATCAATCAATAACAGCACCGGTAATCATAATTAAAATTAATTACGGGAATATATAGGGTGTTAAAGGTTCAAGTAAGGTTTCTAAGGTCATGGATTATAGGCAAATAAATTTAATTGAGGTTGTTGATCACTGCGATTAGTTCAAATTCATCACGGATGATTCATCAGTCTGCAAGTTTTGTTGATGTATACACCTTTCATGTTGACATAGCTAGCATTTAAATTGATCATCATGACGTCCTGAAAAACGAAAAATGGTGTTCCAGAAGTATGCGTACCAAGATGTCGCACAACCTGAATCCTAACCTGGTACACAACCAGAGTTCAGGGTGTGCGCCATCTTGGGGCGCATACTTCAGGAGGTCCCGAAAAATATATCTGCGAGTACAAATACAATATTCCTATAGTGGTGGTATTGCAAATAAAGAATCAATAGAAAACTACCCTACACTTTTGAGTAGAAGTTGTTGAATTGTGTGAATATTGATTAATATTAATTAACTATCATTAGACTGCTAGTTGAAAGACCTGAGAAAGAGGAGATTGTGGTTGGGAAACAAGAGAAATTGTTCACGAACCATGCAAAAACCTTTCGATGTCGGTCAAACCACACACATGTTGGGCATTATCTTAATCATTAACATCACACTAACCATTATACATTTGCATGCTCTACACAGCATAAATTCGACCAAGAATAATTGCTTTGTATACACGCAGGACACAGCATATAGTACTACAGCAAGTTAAAATGTATGGGAGAATCCAAATATACCTCGACTGGTCACCTAATTACAATATTAGGTACAAGAGGTAAATTATACCGTCTACAACCCTCACAAAGATTCACACCACCCAAATAGAAAACAAAGATCATGCATGTGGAATATCAGAAACCCAGTTTGAAAAAAAAAGAATTATCAGAATTTGAGGTTGGATGTTGTGCATCAGTTGATGAGTACTACTTTGATGATGAACGATATCCACGAATAAGGTATGGATCCCGTGCAAAGTGGAGACGGAGCCGATGGGCCAAGGTTGAATTTTATTCATGATATAGCGCTTTGAAGTGACCCTTCTGAACTAGATATAGCCTACTTCTAATTTTGATTAATTCCAAAGCAATCGTGACGATTATTATACTTGAAATAGGCTTTTCGGAAAACTCTCCAGTAAATAGGAGAACAACCAGTATATTTTGAAGAAGCCAAAATATTTCATTACGGAATCATTAAATGATATTTCGGGAAAGTTTATGTTACATTTAAGGATGTTATCATGCCAAATACTGCAAAAGTTCAAACACTGCTACATACAGTATTATCAAAATTTGAGGTTGGATGTTGTGCATCAGTTGATGAGTACTACTTTGATGAGGAACGATCTCGACTGGAAGAACGATATCCACGACTAAGGTATTAATCACGTGCAAGTGGAGACGGCCGATGGGCCAAGATTGAATTTTATTTATGATATCGCGCTTTGAAATGACCCTTCTGAACCAGCAACAAATAAGAATGCTGTCGATGTCACTTTTCAGGAACTTGTAACGATTGACATACTCACTCACTGGAAATCTTATAACTACCTGAGCGTTCATCGGTGTACCGAAATAAAATCTACCTGTAGTGAAGCGTATACTGATCGAAAAACAGAAATCAGTGTTTTGATCGTTTAATCTGAACATGAAAAACTAACAGCAAAACATCTCTTATACCCCATACTGGTATATGATCTTATGCGTTTCATTGTAGTAACAAAATTGAACATTCGAGAAGAATAAAAAACGATTAAACAAAAAATGTTGAATTATTTAAAGTATAATATTAACAACTATCTACTGATATTTCCACCTCCTTTACTTAAATATAGCTCTTAGAATGTCAGTGGAAATTTGTTTAACTCTGCACTTTTTGTTGAAAATCAAACGATTTACCTATACGAAGAACAGTTGAGAACTGGGATGTTCGAACGAATTTATAATTTGAAAATGGTGAATATTTGATTTTTTGATATTCATATTATGGTATGTTTGAAAAGTAAAACTTGGTGGTTTATGAGTGGAATTCTCACAAAAATATATATTCATCAAACATGGCCAAATTTAAAATGTATTTGTGAACAGTAATTGAGACTGTATTTGGAATATTGGATAATTTTATTCTGGACAATTCAAACTGAAAGTTTTATCCCGCTTTTCAAGCAGACTATATGTTCGATTCAAAACCGTACTATTCATTTTATGTTAAATTGTTCTGGAACAGGCAATACCAAATCAAAGAGTATGCCAAAGCATGAGTTTTTAACTTGGAGCATATGGACTTGGGAAAGAATTTCATTTACGTGAAACAATAGGAAAGAGCAGTACAAAAATTTGCAGAAAGAGTTAAGGCAGTCTGTTTTGAAGCTAATTAATTAAAAAGTCCTCATAAGGCAGTATGAAGGGCGGACTGAAATACCACCTTAGTCTATGTTCGACATTAACTTATTAGAATCGGGTTGCACATTGTATTGTATTTTGAAAAAAGGGAACATCTTCATTGTAAATCTACAATACCAGGAATTTTAAACTATTAATGACATTATAAATCAATCCAAGGGAGTGGAAAATCAGGGGAAAGGATGGCTTAATTATGTGGCGAACCATGGCCCCTTGTGCGGTTACCAGTCCATGTTGGGTAATGGATTAGATAGACAGTTAATTCGTTGCAGAAACCTTTTTATTTTGAACAAATCATGTTAATGCAATTGGGAACTAATTGGACAGATAAATCCATTGCTTCATATCTATCATTATCAATACTAATGTGTTGCTCGTAATTATCAGATAATTGTGATGATAACTTTAATTTATCCACTTCAAAATCAGAGTCAGTGTTAACAAATGGGTGATCACCCTTTTGGAATATAAATGGGCCATGTGTAACAAAATCAGTGTACGACACATTATTAGACTCGAGCTGTACTTGTATCGAGGCTTTCTCTCTTCCCTCAGAATTCAAATGCTTATTCGCTTGAGCAAAAAACTCAATGCTTGTTTTGGGTAAATCATTCCAATTTTCTTCAATTAACTCAGCAGTTTGTTCAATGAGTGGCTCTGATTTTGATTTCCAAGGCCAGAACCTGTAAAAGATTTTGGAGAGAAGGGAAGACACCGAAAGGCCAGAACTGTTTTCCACACAATTTTCTTCTAGGGAAATAGGAACAACCTCAGGGTCTGTGTATGATATAGAAAATGTTCTCGGCTTTGTAGGGTCAGACTTCAATAAAGACAAAACAAATGGTATGTATGATTTCAGAGGGCCGAGAAACCAAAACTTTTTTATTCTATCCTGAAGATCACTATAGGTGCCCCAACTGATACTTGAAACAGCATAAACAGTTTTCCCAGTCGAACCATCAATTTTCATAACATCTACAGGCGTTTGTATACTTCTGGTTATGGCGGATGCTGCGCTACAAATAAAATGAGGTTGTTTATCATGATCCGCATTTTGAATCAATCTCCTACACATTGTATTTTTCTTGCCGAGAGGAATAATTCCAATAGGAATCTTCTTCCAATTTGAATCTGGTCGTCGCATTAAACCTGTGACAATTTCACTTAGAGTTCCATCGCCGCCAGCACAAATAATCATATCAATGTCATTGTTGACAACAGACATAAGTTTTTTAGCTTCTCCCTCATAGTTTAATTTCACCAGATGCACATCATAACCAGCAAGATGTAGTATTGGGGCTGCATACTTCTCATACAAAGCATTTGCTTTTCCACCATTCGCAGCAGGGTTCAAAAGAACTGTGACACGCTTTGCGTCTTGAAGTTCATGTAAACTTTTTTGTCCAAGTTTTACAGCTGTTTGACATTCAGCCCTTCTGAAAAGATGCGCTATGTATCTTTTTTCTGCCCATTTTCCGAACCATGCTAAGACGATTGCACCAGCGATAGACTTTTTTGGATTGTTTTTCACAGCTTTTGCAAACCTAATTACAACCATAATCTGTAACCTATTTGCAGAACTGATGACCAAACTGCGAAAAATTTTCAAATTTTGACAAGTAAAAATAAATTTCGAATTACCGCAAGTAGGTAGCGTACCAGTGCCCGGTCTGCAGGTCAGGTGTGACGTTACCGCGTTGTGGGGGAAAAAGCCGGGACAAAAATATGGCGAACCATGGCCCACGTCCTGACGTGTGACGTCCGGTTACCGTACCAGTCAATGTCGCGATGTGGGTTAGGTACCGGTATGGGATTAGTTGGCCAGTTATTTGTTCCACATGCAGACATGCATCGAAGCATGGACTTGGTCGGCTGAAGCCAAAACCGACCTGCAACATGACGTGATTGTGACGTCGTAGTACCGTAACGTACGTACCGTAATTTTTGAATGACGTTTTCGGGAGGGGGTAAAGAAACACATATGCAAAAATGGTCATGCTACGCCCACTAGAAGTACCAAACGGTACGGTACCAAACTACACTAAAACCCAATTTCCAGCACACGTTACCCGGTATCTCCATGCCTGACCAATCAGTAGTAAACCATGGCCTGACGCCGACTGCCACAGGAGGTCCCTTAGCTGTTGATCCTTGAACTACTTTGAAACCTCAGTTGCCATATTTAGTCTCACTGTGCTACGCCTATTCATATTTATTTACCTACCGTACTTTAGTTTATAATAGATCAGTGGTCTAAGGGGCCCACGAAGCAGTTCGAGGGGGGGGGGGGCACGAGCCCACAACACAAGGCTAATACTTGACCCTAAAACGATTTCGTTTGCATATTTTCCTTTTATAATAAAATTCTCTGTTAAGGCGTTCACCGCAGTTTAATTGCCTGAATAGGTTGATATGTATTCACTTTCTTGTGCGTGAATTGTTTGAGCATAATGGAATTTGGAATCTACCAATATAGTTTGCTGGTAAGCCGTCTAACCTGTAGTTTCACTAGACTGCGAGATCACCTTCGCTATCGTATTATAGACGGAAATCCCAAAATACGAAAATGGAACGACAGTCACTTTGGCTTTACAAAAGTAAATCGAGATGACCGAGAATGTCCTCAATACTTGCATTGCTCGTATGTAATGAGCAATGAATCATTAAGTCCATCTAAACTCCAAAACCACCGTGACAAAAATCATCACCGGGTAAAAGAGTTGATATCGGATTCTTGGCTGCCAAGCGAGTTAGATTGACAATAAAGCAACAATTGGCCAAGTTTGGGTTTCTGCCGGAGGATAAGCCCGCTTTTGAATGCAGCTTTGAATTGGCATATCACTACTTTTACCCACTACTAAGACGAAAGAAAGCTTCTTCACTGCTAGTTCATATGTCGCAAGTTGCGACTTGCAACTTATCTGTAAGTCGTCAGACAGTCCGGAGCGATTCCCATTGATTGTATACTAGAAAGCTCTTATACTTTCTTGTCCGTGGTTTGCTTTTGCATTCCATAAAAAGTAATAAAAACTTAATACAATCCAACAAGTTTAGTTTTTTGGAATGGCGAACAGGGTGGCCACGAGTGCAAAAAGGGGCCACGAACCATAAAAGGTTGAAAACCACTAAAATATATGATGTGACGCTACAGCTCTATCATGGTATTTTTGGAACGTAAAACTTAGTGGTTCACAAGTAGAATTTACTGCCTTCATGCAACGCTGCTTCAACGTGTGACATTGAGATCTGACCTCTGGTCGGGTAAAATCAGTGTTCAACCAAAGTATTCTAGATCTTTTTTCAAAAAATCCCCTAAACAAATTTTCTGCATTGGTAACATAAAATCACTTTGGGGCCATTTGTATCTAAAAATTTTTCATTGTAGACTTACTTGTTGAATATTTTAGATTTCTATTATTAAATCTGAAATAAATTCATTGTTTTACTTTCGGATTATACCTATTGAAAATGAGTTCTGAAACTTCCATTTTTGATGATGACAGTTCTTTGTTAAAAGGCCATAAACATCAAATACAGGCTTTGGGTGCTGTTCAAAAAGAAACAATAACGATGGCGTGATTTTTTTCAATCACTTAGTTTCGTCTACTGAAACAAAACCAACATTTATATAGTACCAAGTAAAATTTCTGATTCCGGCCAAAGGCAAAATATTTATTGTTTACTTCTTCGAATCTGAATCACTCTGAAAAATATCTTTGAATCTAGAATATATTCCATATTAAATTATGTCCAAAATATATATACTTAATATTACACAAAACACGCATCTACAGGCCTCTAAGCATTTGATGCAGGGGTCGGCAACCTACGGCCCGCGGACCGGATCCGGCCCGCGGAGCACTATAATCCGGCCCGCGACGCTTCACTGAATTATAGTAACAAAACATCCGTTTTTACGAATATATTCTTTAGACTAAATTATATTATAACCTAACAATTATATAATTCACAATTACTCGTTTAATAATCATATAATTTAATTATAATTAAGCAAATGGCAACAAAGCGCAGAAAAGTTGATGCTAAGTGCAAAGGCCCACAACACAAGGCTAATAATTGACCCTAAAACGATTTCGTTTGCATATTTTCCTTTTATAATAAAATTCTCTGTTAAGGCGTTCACCGCAGTTTAATTGCCTGAATAGGTTGATATGTATTCACTTTCTTGTGCGTGAATTGTTTGAGCATAATGGAATTTGGAATCTACCAATATAGTTTGCTGGTAAGCCGTCTAACCTGTAGTTTCACTAGACTGCGAGATCACCTTCGCTATCGTATTATAGACGGAAATCCCAAAATACGAAAATGGAACGACAGTCACTTTGGCTTTACAAAAGTAAATCGAGATGACCGAGAATGCCCTCAATACTTGCATTGCTCGTATGTAATGAGCAATGAATCATTAAGTCCATCTAAACTCCAAAACCACCGTGACAAAAATCATCACCGGGTAAAAGAGTTGATATCGGATTCTTGGCTGCCAAGCGAGTTAGATTGACAATAAAGCAACATTGGCCAAGTTTGGGTTTCTGCCGGAGGATAAGCCCGCTTTTGAATGCAGCTTTGAATTGGAATATCACTACTTTTACCCACTACTAAGACGAAAGAAAGCTTCTTCACTGCTAGTTCATATGTCGCAAGTTGCGACTTGCAACTTATCTGTAAGTCGTCAGACAGTCCGGAGCGATTCCCATTGATTGTATACTAGAAAGCTCTTATACGTGTGACATTGAGATCTGACCTCTGGTCGGGTAAAATCAGTGTTCAACCAAAGTATTCTAGATCTTTTTTCAAAAAATCCCCTAAACAAATTTTCTGCATTGGTAACATAAAATCACTTTGGGGCCATTTGTATCTAAAAATTCTTCATTGTAGACTTACTTGTTGAATATTTTAGATTTCTATTATTAAATCTGAAATAAATTCATTGTTTTACTTTCGGATTATACCTATTGAAAATGAGTTCTGAAACTTCCATTTTTGATGATGACAGTTCTTTGTTAAAAGGCCATAAACATCAAATACAGGCTTTGGGTGCTGTTCAAAAAGAAACAATAACGATGGCGTGATTTTTTCAATCACTTAGTTTCGTCTACTGAAACAAAACCAACATTTATATAGTACCAAGTAAAATTTCTGATTCCGGCCAAAGGCAAAATATTTATTGTTTACTTCTTCGAATCTGAATCACTCTGAAAAATATCTTTGAATCTAGAATATATTCCATATTAAATTATGTCCAAAATATATATACTTAATATTACACAAAACACGCATCTACAGGCCTCTAAGCATTTGATGCAGGGGTCGGCAACCTACGGCCCGCGGACCGGATCCGGCCCGCGGAGCACTATAATCCGGCCCGCGACGCTTCACTGAATTATAGTAACAAAACATCCGTTTTTACGAATATATTCTTTAGACTAAATTATATTATAACCTAACAATTATATAATTCACAATTACTCGTTTAATAATCATATAATTTAATTATAATTAAGCAAATGGCAACAAAGCGCAGAAAAGTTGATGCTAAGTGCAAAGGCCCACAACACAAGGCTAATAATTGACCCTAAAACGATTTCGTTTGCATATTTTCCTTTTATAATAAAATTCTCTGTTAAGGCGTTCACCGCAGTTTAATTGCCTGAATAGGTTGATATGTATTCACTTTCTTGTGCGTGAATTGTTTGAGCATAATGGAATTTGGAATCTACCAATATAGTTTGCTGGTAAGCCGTCTAACCTGTAGTTTCACTAGACTGCGAGATCACCTTCGCTATCGTATTATAGACGGAAATCCCAAAATACGAAAATGGAACGACAGTCACTTTGGCTTTACAAAAGTAAATCGAGATGACCGAGAATGTCCTCAGTACTTGCATTGCTCGTATGTAATGAGCAATGAATCATTGAGTCCATCTAAACTCCAAAACCACCGTGACAAAAATCATCACCGGGTAAAAGAGTTGATATCGGATTCTTGGCTGCCAAGCGAGTTAGATTGACAATAAAGCAACATTGGCCAAGTTTGGGTTTCTGCCGGAGGATAAGCCCGCTTTTGAATGCAGCTTTGAATTGGCATATCACTACTTTTACCCACTACTAAGACGAAAGAAAGCTTCTTCACTGCTAGTTCATATGTCGCAAGTTGCGACTTGCAACTTATCTGTAAGTCGTCAGACAGTCCGGAGCGATTCCCATTGATTGTATACTAGAAAGCTCTTATACTTTCGTGTCCGTGGTTTGCTTTTGCATTCCATAAAAAGTAATAAAAACTTAATACAATCCAACACGTTTAGTTTTTTAGAATGGCGAACAGGGTGGCCACGAGTGCAAAAAGGGGCCACGAACTATAAAAGGTTGAAAACCACTAAAATATATGATGTGACGCTACAGCTCTATCATGGTATTTTTGGAACGTAAAACTTAGTGGTTCACAAGTAGAATTTACTGCCTTCATGCAACGCTGCTTCAACGTGTGACATTGAGATCTGACCTCTGGTCGGGTAAAATCAGTGTTCAACCAAAGTATTCTAGATCTTTTTTCAAAAAATCCCCTAAACAAATTTTCTGCATTGGTAACATAAAATCACTTTGGGGCCATTTGTATCTAAAAATTCTTCATTGTAGACTTACTTGTTGAATATTTTAGATTTCTATTATTAAATCTGAAATAAATTCATTGTTTTACTTTCGGATTATACCTATTGAAAATGAGTTCTGAAACTTCCATTTTTGATGATGACAGTTCTTTGTTAAAAGGCCATAAACATCAAATACAGGCTTTGGGTGCTGTTTAAAAAGAAACAATAACGATGGCGTGATTTTTTTCAATCACTTAGTTTCGTCTACTGAAACAAAACCAACATTTATATAGTACCAAGTAAAATTTCTGATTCCGGCCAAAGGCAAAATATTTATTGTTT